CCCAGGAGAAGGAGGCGGGACCCAGAGCCTGGGCTTCCTGGGACCGAGGAAAACGTAGGGGGCAGCAGGCACGTCTCAGGCCTGGGAGGGTCCCGAGTCAGGGGGAACCACTGGAGAGCTCTTCGGGGTCCGAGAAAGGCTAGAAGGAGGGCTGGTCCTGGGGCGACAGGCCACGGGGAGATAGGGCCGGGTCTGAGGCCGCCGATCCCCGGCTCTGGCCCGCAGAGTTGGGGTGCGCCGGAGTCTCCCGGCAGGCCCGGGCAGGAGGCCCGGCCGCGGCCGCGGGCTCGAGGGGGCGGCGGCGCGGCCCGGCCAGTGGGCGCCGCGAGAGGCCCGGCAGCCGGCTCACCTGCAGCACCACCTCCACGTCGTACGAGTTACCCTTGCTCTTCTGGTGGCCGCGGAACTTAGAGCCGCTGTAGAGCAGGCTGGTGGCCACGCCGGGCTGCTGCGTGTTGATGGGCGGCGGCGGGATGAGCGAGGCGGCGGAGGTGGCCGAGGCACCGGCCGGCGGGGGACACTCGGTGCGGACCGGCATCGCGGGGTCCCCCGGAGCCAGGGCTGGGGGAGGGGGAGGAACCACCGCCGCGCGGGAGCCGAGGAGGGTGGCCGGGGGTAAGGCCGGCGCGCGCGTGGGGCGGGAGGGGTCTACCCGCCGGCCGCCTGCGGACTGAGCGCTCCGGCCGCCACCGGGACCCCGGGACCTGCGAGCAGGGCCTCCGGGTGCTAAGCGAGCCCCCTCCCCGCCTGCGCTCGCACACACACCCCTTCCGATTGGCTCCGGCGCGCCGGGGGGCGGGAGCAGGCTAGCGCGGCGCTTCTGCCTATTGGCGGGCGGAGACAGCACGTGGCGGGCACCGAGGCCCTCTGGGACTTGTAGTCTTCTTCCCGAGGCGCGGCGCGGGGGCGGGGCCTGGGCGTTTGTGATACTGATTGGCTGCGGCGTGCGCTGAGGCGCGCGGCGACGGCGCGCCGCGAGTGTCGTGCGCAACATGGCGGCGCCCAGGGAGGCTGAGGATGCCGGCGGCCGGTGAGAAGTTCCGGTCGCCGATGAGAAGCTTCGTGCGGCCCGAGTGCGCAGCGTGCGGTCCCTCCGCTCAGTGTTCCCCGCGCTCAGATCTCGCGCGGTCGTTCTCCCAGGCCCCCGCGCGATGTGGAGGAGCTGCCTCCGGCTGCGGGGCGGGGGTCGCCACCTCCTGAACTGCCCCCGCGGTGGCCTCACCGCCTCCAGGGGGCCCGGGCCAAAACCCCCGGCCCACGCCCGGGCCTACGCGCCTCCAGCAGGTGAGGGAGGCCAGGGCGGAGCAGGCTGAGGAGTTGGCCGTACAGGGTCACAGGTCGGAAGGGAAGCCCCGGCAAGAGCAGGGAACGCCCCAGGGCGCACGCGCGTCGTTTTCTTTAGCACGTGTGGCTTTTTTCTCTTCCGTTAGGAAAGCAGAAGTCATCCTTGTTTTCAGGCGGGGAAATTCGGGTTCTGGGTCGGGATTGCCCCAAGGGAGAAGAGCAAACTCTGAGAGGTTTGCGGGGTAAAGGCCGGTCTGCCGGGCTGCTTTCTGTATCCCCGCGACCCGGCACCGAAGGGACCTGGAGCCCGGGCTTTCAGTCTTTCATCCCGGCCGCTGTCTCCGCAGCTGTCCTGACCCTTCCTCCTACTGCCTTCCCACGACCCCTGCCATCTGCTAAGGAGTTAACAGCCCGTGCCTCTTCCTCCCCTTCCAACTCAGATGAGGCTTAGGAGAAGGTAGTGGCTCTTTCGTTGCTTCTGGGGAGAGGTTTTAGGGGTAAGAGTGGGAGTGACTCCTTTGAGTGAAGATAGTAAAGCACTCCTTCCAGTCACTCAGGATTGATGTGCTGAGGGCGGGAGGCACCGTTGTCTTCAAGAGAGACGTAGCCTCTACCTAGGTGATGTTCAGTGTCGAGTGCAGAAGGTTATAACACCCTGGTTAAACAATAGCCTATATCCTGCGTGAGGAAGGTACAAAGAAGCACCTATTCCCACCTTGGGGGTTTTGAGGGTCTAGAAAGGGTCTTGGGTGAAAGGACATTTAAGCTGAGTCTTGACAGACGAGAAGGAGCTCGGTGTAGAGGAGCAGGGAGGGTGGAACGTGGGCGGCTGGAACACGTCCAGAGGTGGCAGCGGGTGAGGGAGCTCGCTGTGACACTGCCTGCTTTAGGAAATCTAGAGCTCCACAGGCAGCTTGGCATCGTGGCAGAAGCACATACCTGGGGTCTGATGCTGCTGAACCAGGAGCTGTGTGATCTTAGGCATGTGACTGCTTCGTTTGGACATCATTTTCGTCTGTGAGTTGAAGGGCTAGGTTGTCTCTGAGCGCCCTTCTGTTCCATAATTTTATACAAATAGGGAAGAGGAATGGATGTAGCAGGGAGCAGAGATCTCACCTGTCAGGGCCCAGGTGAAGGGCCTGGAGGTGATCCATGAAGAGCCAGTAAAGGGGAAGAAGGAAGGGCATCTGTGACCGTGTGATTTATGATAAGAAATGTACATGTTTGGTCATTTTCTTGTACTGACATACGTCTCCTAAAACCTTTGTAGCTTACTAAGTAATGAGAGTTATGGGAGAATCTTTTGTTAAAATAGTCGGTCTTCTGTCCTAAAAGAGCTCCAGAGTGATAATGGTGCAAGGAGGGTCTTATTACTCATAACAAGCCCCTTTCAACCACACCTGAGTGTATGTTAACAAGGTGACTTTTTCCTTAGGGAAAGCCCCTAAGGATGGCGGCTGATTGCCAGGGGAACCAAACACACTTGATTAGAGGGTTGGAAGTTTCAGCCCCACCCCCTGACCTCTGGGAAAGGGAGAGGGACTGGAGATTGAATGGAGGTTGATCACTAATTACCTGTGATTTAATCATGCCTGTGTAATGAAGCCTCCATAAAACCCCTGAACTATGGGGTTTGGAGAGCTTCAAGGTTGGGGAACACGTGGAGATGCAGGGAGGGTGCCCAGAGAGAGCATGGAAACTCGGCACCCTTTCCTCCATACCTTGCCCCATGCATCTCCTCCATTTGCCTGTCCCCGAGTTGTATCCTTTTGTAGTAAACTGGTACTCTAGTAAGTAAACTGTTCTCCTAAGTTCCGTCAACTGCTCTAGCAAGCTATCATGCAGGACATAACTCTTGTAAGACTGAGTTCTTAATCTATGGGATCCAGCGCTGTCTCCAGGCGGGTCGTGTCAGAATTGAGTCAATTGTAGGACACTCAGCTGGTGTCTCAGTTGATCAGTGGTATCCGATCGGTAGGGATCCCTAACCCTAACCGCCCCCCCTCCACGTTTGGAGCATAGTATCTGTGTGAGTGTGTAAAGAAAACGGGAGCGTTGTTTTTCCTTTACAGCACCCCAGGGAGGCAGCACACGAGCGAAGGGGACACGTTCAGGAATTCCCTTAAGTTTCCTCAATCAGAGGGTTCATCCAGTTGGTGGGTGCCACTTGCCGTCATGGTGGCACTGACCTGCCCCTGTTCCTTTCTACTGCAGACTTGCTAGCTTCGGCTCTTGGTAGGTAGTCAAACGTGGAGGAAGATAAGAGTGGGTGAAAGAGTGCCGAGCAGTGGGACGGAGCGTCTCGCACCGACCTGAGCGCTCTGCTTTTCCGACCTGAGCGTCGGTGCGTCTTTGGAGGAGTGGAAGGTTAAACCCAAGTGGTGGCTTCTCTGTGAAGACTTGGAGAGGCAAGTAGATTGAACTTGGCTCCTTAGGGACAGCTGTGCCATTGAAGGTTGTCGGAAGGCGAGGAGGGGGTTAGGAGAGGGTCACCGGGCTGTGTGGCGTCCAGCCCCGTACCAGCCGTTGGAGCCGTCAGCCGCTTAGAGGGGAAGGTGTTCGGAGAGGCTGCCTGTCCAGCTGAGGACGACACCGGTGAGGGCAAGGCTGGGGGTCTCCTCTGTTTACAAGTTGTCTGTCACCTGCACAAGTGGTTTAGCTTCTCAGTCCCTGCCCCGTCTTCAGAGGCTGCTTGTGCTGGGTTGAGGCAGATGCTGTAGATAAGGAGGCCAGCCTGCCACCTGTTTTTGTTAATAAAAGTTTATTGGAACCCAGCCCTGCTCATTCACTGACATGCATCTAGGGCTGCTTTCACCACAGTGCAGGGTTGGCTGGCTGCACAGAGACTGGATGGCCTGCAAAGCCTGAAATACTTTATTTGGCTCTCGGCAGAAGTGTGCCAGCCCCTGCTCTGGATGCTAGAGCGATTTGGAAAAGAGGTGCGTTGAAGGATTATTTAACAGCTTTATTGAGATGTGATGCGCTTACAGTTCACTCACTTAAAGTGTACAACTCAGTGGTTTTTAGTATACTCAAAGGGATTGTGCAGCCATCGATTCTAGAACATTCTTATCACCCCAAAGAATCCCTGTACCCTTTAGCTACCGCTCTCCGAGTACCCCCTCAATCCCTCCAGGCCTAGACAGCCACTGCTTTATTCTCTGTGTCTGTAGATTTCCCTAGTTTGGATATTTCATATAAATGGAATGTGGTTTTTTTGGACTGGCTTTTTTTCATTCAGCATGTTTTCAAGGTTTATCCCAGGGGTAACATGTGTCAGTACTCCATTCTCTCTCACAGCTGATAACATTCCATTGTAGGGACACACCATGTCTTATTTATGCAGTCATCCATTGGTGAACGTTTGGGTGGTTTCCATCTTTTGGTGTTCTGAATGCCTCTGTAAACACTTGAGTACAGGTTTTTGTGTGGGCATATGTTTTCGTTTCTCACAGGCAGGTATCTAAGAGTAGAATTGCTGGATCAAATGGTACCTAACTTTCTGAGGAACTGCCACCCTGCTTTCCAAGGTGGCATTTCCACCAGCAATGTATGAAGGTCCCAGTTTCTCATCCTCCTTCCCAATATCTGTCTTTTTGGTCATAGCCATCCTAGTGGGTGTGAAGTGGTGTCTTGGGGCTTTGCTTTGCATTCCCCTGATGATGAATGATGTCAAACATCTTTTCGTGTGCTTTTTGGACACTTGTACATTTTCTTTGGAGAAATGTCTATTCAGATCCTTTGACCATTTCTTAGTTGGGTTATTTGTCTTTTTATTATTGAATTGCAAGAGTTCTTTATATAGCTGGCCCGAAGAATTCTGAAACTTGAAAACGCTCTGTCACAGCCGCCCCAGGATTATGGGTAGAGGGACCCCGAGTCAGAATCTAACTTTAAGGCTTAAGGCCCACCAGGTGGCACTGTTTAGAAAGAGAAAGGTATTGAGGCAGCTCTGGGAAGGCACATCCTCTGTTCCTGGTGCACCGTGGTGGTTGCAGTTCTGAGGCTTTGAGTCTTTCCAAAGCAAAGGCCAGCCCGGAAATTGAGGCTGGTAGAAGGATCACTCACTGGTCTGTGAAGCCTGGGACAGGAGGAGGAGTGTCCAGGGAAGTGACACAGAAAATCGCCTGTTTCTTTATACGTATTGAAGCAGCCTCGCAGGAGAAAGGGAGCCAGTGGACATTGATTTCCAGTTCAGCACTCTTCACAGGAGCAGCTTGTTAATGTTCCCGCTTATATAGCCTGGTTTCTTGTGGCAGCTTTTAAAATTCAATGCTTTTTCACATACCCATTTCTTTGTATCTACATAGTCCTTAAAATTGTCACTTAAAAGGCACCAAGTGTGGTTTTGCTACAGAAACAGACGTTCTGTAAAGGGCGTGATTCGTACTCAAAATAGACCTGTTCTGTGTGATCCTGCCTGTAAGGATGGGGTTTCCATTGCTGGTAGCTCACCCTGTGTCACTGAGAATGTGGGTGCTTCACAGGCTCCTAATCTCACGACTTGTCTATGAGACCCAAGGCCTTGGAGGGTCCAGGGAGAAAACCTCCATCTTTTGACATTGTTGGGGAGCATGGATCCCGCCAAGTGAATTTTCCAGATCCTGGTCTCGTTGCCTGTGTGAACCCCCTACTTGGCTCCCCCACCCTCCTCGCTGGGACCTGCCGGCCTCCTCCCCAGATGTGGGCCTCTGCAGCCATCGTGGGCACACAGACACACACAGACACACACAGACACACACACACACACACACACACACACACACACACACACACACAGACACACACACACACACACACACACACACACACACACTCTGAAAGCCATCAACACGGTTGGGCCTGCCCTGCTCTTCTGCAGCTCTCAGGTGCCATCTGGCCGCTTGGAGGTCTTCCTTTGGCCCAGAAGAGATGAGTCTTCTTGGGTTTAGTGTCCGTCTACCCACGAGACAGTACGTGCCTCGAGGGCAGGGTAGCTTTGAGTCCTGCCCTGGAAGGGGGTTAGTCGTCACCAAGTTTGCTCCAGGACTGGAGTTTGCCCTCCCGTCAGCGCAGCCCTGAACCCGCCTGGCCGGCCTCTCTGATCAGCACAGAGGTGGAATTGGCCAGGACAGAGGAGGGGGGCAGAGGTAAGAAGACCCCCTCGTGGGAGACATCGCTGTCCCGGCAGCTTTGGGAGGTTCAGCCTGTGCCGTCAGTCTCTGCTCCGTCCTTTCTTTGACTGCCAGGTCTCTTGGGCCCATTTCCCATGGCCGTGTGGGGCGTGTGGTAGAGTGTTGTGCTGTACCGGCAGGGTGGGTCCCTCCCCCGGGGATGAGTCAGCCTTCAGGTCCCCCCACCCCCCACTTCCTGCCTGGTCTGGCTTTGGACTTGCTGACCAGCCAGGCACTGGAGAACATGCTGGACATCGTCTGGGCACCCCGACCGAGGCCTCCAGACAGATGCAGGGGCCTCCAGTCTCGTGTCGGCGGGGCTGCTGCCCCTAGCCTCTTACTCAGAAGCCACTGATCCATGTGGAGTGGGGAGACCCTTGGGTGCTGTGTGGAAGTCGGGGTGGTCAGTCAGAATCAGCAGTGGTGGTACAGGCTCCTCCTGAGTCTCCACAGCATTTTAAACTGCGCTTTTGAAAAATCTTCCCAGCAGAAAGGAAGAGGTTCTATCGGAATGTCAGCATCACACAGGGTGAAGGTGAGTGTCTGGAATTTTCACTGCCTCTTTTGTTTCTGTGAATGGGTGGAAACACTTTTCACCTCCAGCCAGCTCCTCGGTGAGCTTGACCTTGGCGCTCTCGTGGGGTGTGTTTCTGTAAGCCACCCACCCCCCAGAAGGATCTCGGGGTGTCTTTGCACCGAATCAAGTAGCTAAATATAGGGGTGGTCACTCCATTCTGCTTATTAACCCCTGAGAGGTTTTCATCTGTTCTTTCAAGCTGGCTTTGAGATCAATCTGGACCACAGGAAGCTGAGGACTCCCCAAGCCAAGCTCTTCACCGTCCCCAGCGAGGCCCTGGCCGTCGCTGTGGCCACTGAGTGGGACTCTCAGCAGGACACCATCAAGACGTACACCATGCACCTGGTAATAGGTCGCAGCCCGCGCCCGAGGCTGCCACGGGCTTCGTGGGGCACCGGACAGAATTAGGGATCCTCTCCCGATTTCGATAAGGCCCTGAGGCTGTGGGCACCCACCCCACCCCCACCCCCAGGGCCTGGTTCCTCCCTGGGTCTCGGGACACAATCCTTCCCTGGCCGCCGGCTCTCTTATTTCCCTCTGGGGCAGCCGTTCCTTTGTTTTGTCGGCTCTGAGGGTCTGTGATGGTCTGGGTCATGTGCTGGTCATGGACATGCTGGTCACGCCTGCTGTCCATCTCAGCAGCACGTAGCCAGCCTGGCCTCAGCTCAGTTCGCACTCAGCAGGGTTGGTGGTGGTGCAGACCCTCCCTGAGAAGCTGGCCTCCCTGAGGCCCTAGAGGAGCAGCTGGGGGAGAGGCCCACTCGGTCACCTTGGGCAACTTGCCGCCCCTCGGGCAAGGTCCCCACCCTGAAAAGTGGGTGGTGGTCAGGATGGGACCAGACGATGCGTCGAGAATCTGTGCTTCCCGGCACATGGACCCAAGCCCCAGGCAGGCTTCTCAGCCTCTCTGCCCGCGTGCCAGCTCCCCTGGAGTGTCCAGGGAACAGGGGACACGGGCTGCAGACGGAGCCTTCGGGTAGCTCAGCAGCCTGTGGGCCACAAGGCAGATGTGGAAAAACCGTCCTGCCCCTGGGTTGGCTGGCTTGTCCCCTGCTTTCTGAGGCGTTGGGGAGTTGGCGGGTGAGCTTCTCAGCCGGATCCAGGAATGCCTCCACGTTGCCTTCGCTGGACCTGATCTCCCTGGGCCTGGCTTCCCACGTCTCTGTAATGGTTACAGTGATAGTACCTCCTGGAAAGGGTTGTGGTGAGGATTGAATTAAACACTGCAGAGCCTGGTAGTACAGAGACTGAGACCTTGGGGGAGTTCATCGTTCCTGGGGCCTGGGCAGTGTCCTCGGGACTGGCTGTGCTGACGGGCTCTCTCTCTGCCTTTGATCCAGACCACACTGTGCAACACGTCTCTAGACAACCCGACCCAGCGAGACAAGGACCAGCTCATCTGGGCAGCCGCAAAGTTCCTGGACACTGACACCGTCTGGTAATGGACGTGCGGGCAGCCTCCCCGGGGCCTGAGTGAGTCCCTCAGGCTGTTTGCCTGGAGCCTTCTCAGTGGAGGACAGGGCAGGCCCTTATCTCCTCAGCACTCAGCTGCTCTGCAGACCCCAGGCGGGAGGGCACGGGCTGCCCCAGCGTCGGGCCGGCCCTCTCCCACAGCCAGCAGCTGTCCCCTGGCCTGGGGCGGGATAGGTTGGTGGCCTCTGCAGCTCTCTCAGGCTCCAGGACCCAGGGGGTCATGTCCGGCCACCGCACGTTCTCACGTAGGTCGCCTGCTCCTCACTTGTCCGCTGGGTCACGGATGGCCCGACCTTGGCATCCAGCGGCCGGCCTCCTCGTCTGCATCCTCCCTGCGCCCGGGTTCTCTCACGGGTGGGTCGGGGATGTTGACAGGAAGTGGAAGGAACAACTGAGCAGCCCCATGTCTGCCGCCCGAATGCTCCGACACCCGGGTACCTCCAGGATGGCACGTGAAATCGGCACTGGGGCGAGGGGACAGAGGTGTCCCTGCAGAGACCGCTGGCACTGCTGGTGGAAAGTCCGCGCTGTTTGCATTAGGGACCGTTTGGTTACAGGGAAGAGCACCCTTCCAGCCCAGCTCAGAGAAGGGGGTTTTCTTGGAGACCATCCCAGTACTGAGAGCAGATGCGGGTGGGAGCCCTCTCTGCCCTGGGGGCCACTACTCTCCCCTGGGCAGCCGCCTCCCCGCACCCTCGTGACCTCCCTGCCACTTCTGCTCACACCAGCCTGGCCTCCCCGGCACCCCCAAGGCTTCCGTCCCAGGAGGCCTTGCAGCTCAGCTCCCCTCAGCTGACCTCATCTCTGTCTCTTGGTCAGAACAGTGGTGTGGCCTGGCATCGGTGGTGCCGGGCAGGGCCGCTGGCGGCCGCATCTGTGGCTGGGAGGCACGTGGGCAGACAGGCAGCTGGCCCGTGGCCGGGGCGCCGCCTCTTGGGAGGGGCTGGCAGGCAGGACGAGTGACTGAGCTTCTGGCGCAACATCCTGGGACCAAGGGGGTGTGGGTCTGGGGACAGTGTTAGTGTTGAGGGCAGCACCAGGGCAGCACTGCAGGCAGTGACCTGTCGATAACTGGGGGTGTTCGGGACAGTGGGTCTCAAAGTCAAACTTACGCAGAACCCCTGGAGGGCTTGTGAAGCTGCAGGTTGCTGGTCTCCACCCCCAGAGGGCGGGGCCTGAGGATGTGCATTTCCAGCAAGGTCCAGGGTGAGCCCTGGGCCACACTTTGAGAACCACTGCTTTAGGGGAAAGGCTTGGGGGCGGGGGTAGGGGGTGGAGAGGTCTGCTGTTGCGTTTTGTGTATCTGTGTCTGTCGCTGGATGAAAGAATTGTACTTTTTTTATTAATGGAGGTGCTTTTGCACTGAATTAGCTGCAGGGTGGAAGAACCAGAGACGCTGGTGGAGCTGCAGAGGAACGAGTGGGACCCAGTCATAGGCTGGGCCGAGAGGAGGTGAGCCGCTCAGCGCTGGGCAGGCCAGGGTCCAGGCCATGCTGGACAGCCGAGGCCCTGAGCTGGTCAGCGTTCTGAGTTCAGAGCACCCAGGGGACTCAGGACAGGGCCACCTTGGGGGGAAATGCTGTTCAGTGCTTCTTCCCCCATTGGCTGTGTGACCTTGGGCTAGTGACTTGATCTCTCTGAGCTCCCTTGTTTGTGAGTGGGGCTCATAATCCCTACCTCCCAGGGTGTCGGGAGGTGTACGCGAAGTGATGCACCCTGCTTGGCACACACTGAATGCTCGCATTGGCAGATACCGCCCTGCTCGTTGTCACAGTTGCTGTGCAGTCGTATACACAGTCACAAAGCAGCGTGTGTGATCCTGACACATGGAAAAAAGTCTGGACAGGTGAACCTGTGGGTGGGAGGTTTCCAGGGATTGGTGATGCCCAGTGCTTTTCCTTAGCAGGAAGACTCTTGTGCGGAATTGAACAGGCCATTGATATGGCACAGTTGATTCAGTTTCATTTCATTCCCAGGGGATTCGCAAAGGGCTCTGACCCTGTGCTCCCTTGACCACGGTATTTTGTAAGTGTGCGTACATGGAGTGGTTTTGGCATAGCGTTTTTTATCTGTACACGTTTACAGAGCACCCACGATGTGTCGGCATCCTTGGGTTTTGTAGTGAGAGGCATAGCCAGTGTGCTGAAGGGTCAGATAAAACTGAACGACGAGATGCCACGTGAGAACCGCAAAGATGCGATGCCATTTTGGAGTCCAGTGAAATGGAGCAGTAGTTTGGTGCCTGCAGGCCTTTGCTGTGGTACAGAATTGTCAGCTTTTTGTGGCAGTTGAAATTTCTCACACGTAGCAGGTGACAGGAAAACGTGGCCACTTCCTGTGTTCCATTTGTACTATTGGAAATTTCGGAAAGACTGTTTCTAAAGCAATGGGGAGATCAGTGATATGTGAGAGGAAATTACAAAAATTGCTTTTATTCCATTGTTTTTTCCTGCATTTTGTGTAGTTAAGATTGTTCTTGAAAATGTATCGTTCTTGAAGCTAGCTCGTGTCCCAGACTAAAAACAGTGCCTTGTGTATGGTAGAGACTTAATAAATGTGTGAAAAAGTGATTGCCTGATACAGGACATACACAACTATTGTAAAGAAAACAATATTTAAAAGAAGACTTTTATGGCTCATATGTGAGGACTTTTCTGCAAAGGTTTGAAACGCAGGCAGCCCATAGTTCTGATGGACGTTCAGGCCAATGAATTCGAATCTCAGGAGCTGTAAGTGACCCCCTGCTTCCTGACTTGCCAGCTGTGTCTCCATCCAGAGCTGTTTCTTGCCCTCTGCTCTTGGTGACAGAAGGTTACTAGGTCAGGAGGCCACGGACTGCAGCGGCAGGTGCTGTCCGTATTCCCAGCGGGCCCCTGAAGGGGCACACGTGTGCTCAGCAGGCTGGGGCTCTGCTTCTGGGCAGAAGCTGGGCTGCACAGCAGGACAGACAGACATGCAGCCTCTTCCTTTTAGATACGGCGTGAAGATCGGCTCCTCCACCAGCATCATGGGGCCCAGCATCCCAGCCCGGACTCGGGAGGTGCTGGTCAGCCACCTGGCCTCTTACAATATGTGGGCCCTACAAGGTACGTGGTGCTTCCTGTCGGCCAGGGAGGACGGGCTGGGGGTGGAGGGCTGTCATGCTAAGCTGTCCCCTGGTCCACGGGCCAGCAGTTTCACACCCTTCCTGGGGGACGTGGCTCTCCCCTCTTCAGGAATCTCCATTCAGGTCTCCCTGGCCTGGCTCGGGTCACGGGGTGGAGTGCTCGTTCTGATGGGCCGGGGCCCGCCCCAGGCAGGAGCAGAGCAGGGATCCCCGAGGGAGAGCAGAGCACTCCTTGAGAAGTGTGGCGAAGGCTCTGTCCCCCGCCTGGCGACTGCCCTTTGTGGGATGGGGGCCCCAGGTCCTGACCTGGCTGTGTCCCTGCAGGGATTGAGTTTGTGGTGAGCCAGCTCAAGTCCATGGTGCTGACCTTGGGCCTGATCGACTTGCACCTGACGGTGGAGCAGGCTGTGCTGCTGTCGCGCCTGGAGGAGGCCTTCCAGGTGAGGCGCAGCCCCAAGGCAGACTCCCCGAAGGGCACCCCGCCGTGTACACGCGGAGCCCGGACGCTAAGGCCCATAGAGGTGTCGCGTCACAATGGTAGCAAACCACGGCGGTGCTGCTCAGCCCTCCCTCACCGCCTCGCCGCCTCTTCTCAGCACCGTGTCGGGTGAGGGCTCGTTTCCCATCTTGCACAGGAGGAATCTGAGGCGTGGGCGCCCCCTGAGATGATGCCAGAGGCGGGTCTTGGAGCCCCCCTCTGCGGGTGGAGGTTCAGGCCGGTTCAGGCACAGCTGCAGGCTGGGCCCCTCAAGATGAGCAGGGGCCACGTGGGTGCTTCTAGAAGGAGGCTGAGCCTGCACACCCGGACGTGCGCACGGCGGGCCCTCGGGGCTGCTGCTCGTGCACGTTTGGTTCAGGGGGCTCAGAATTAATAAGGCTTTGCTGCACTGCCGTTTGCGTTTTTTAACTCAGAATGATGGTGTTCTCTGCAGTGCCCTTGTCATTTCTCCAGCCTCAGAAGGTTAACTGCTGTTACAAATTGGCTCCTAGCATGATGAGAACCCTTTTGTAATGACAGTATTGCCCAAGTTCGTCTAGTCATCGTTCAGGAAAATGCCAGGGGATAAAACTGCTTCTGTGTTGTGAGAGGCCGGCTACTGTCTGGTGTGAGAAAGGGTTGGATGGGAAGAGGGTGATCTGGGCCTGGAGGCGGCAGCCAGGAAGCCTGGTTTCCAGTCCGGGCTCTACTTTTGGCTGCGGGGTCCGAGCGGGGCCATCGTTCCCTGAACCTCACATTCCACCCACCGCAAAACAGTTCTCTGAGAGTATAAAACGCCCTTCAGATGTTCTGGGCCACCTGAAATGCAGGTAGATCTCGAGTTCCTGGGTGGGGGGCCCACGCCTCTGGGCCTCTGGCCAGGGAGGGGCCCACAGGGTGGGCTGGAGTCGCACTGACAGCCATGCTCAGGACAGGGCTTCTCCTGGAGAGAGAGTCTGCAGCCCTGCCCAGTACAGACATCCCGGCCTCTGCTGTCCCGGCCTCCCCCAGGAGCCCAGCTGCAGCGACCTTGTGGCCCTGGCTGGCTTATTCATCCCCCCGCCCCCACCGGGGCACTTACAGCCCTGCCCAGTGAGGCAGCTCATGGAGGGTGACACTTTGCAGACTGCCTCACGCCAGCCTCCCCGTGGGAAGGTCAGGCCCCTGGGGGAGAGGCACGTGTGGCCGTACCCGTGAGCACGGTGCCTGCTCTGCCCGCCCCCCCACCGTGTTTTCTCACCTGTCGCTCCCCCTGCGTGTCTCTCATGTTCGGGTGGGATCAGAGCCGACTCTCCTCAGCTATGGGACGTCGTGGCTCTGGCCAGTCACCCAGTGGCCTGTCCCGTCCTCCCCTCAGATCCAGAAGTGGGGCAACGTCGAGTGGGCCCACGACTACGAGCTGCGGGACCTGCGGGCGCGCACGGCCGCCGGCGCCCTCTTCGTGCAACTCTGCTCCGAGAGCTCGGCCGTCAAGCACAAGCTGCTGCAGGGGTGAGGCCGGGCCCCAAGCCACGCGGCTGGTGGAGGCCAGCTCGGGCCGAGGCAGGGGGCGTGGGTACGAGTGATTATATTGAACGATTCTTTGCCTCGAAACGCGTGGCGCCTCCACTCGTTGCTCCTCCCGTGGTCCCTGAGGCCACCCTGCCCACCCACAGGGCACGTGCTGCTTCCACCGGGGAGCTCTGCATGGCCCTTAGCCCCAAGACTTTTGCTTTCCGGTTTTTAATCAAACAGTCTTTTAAAACTGAGTCCCTCTTGGTCCGAGCCATCTGTTTCTGCTTGTTTGTTCCTACTGTTTTAGCAAAAATGATTTACTCTTAAAAATAGAAAGTAGGGTTTCCCTGGTGGCGCAGTGGTTACGAATCCGCCTGCCAATGCAGGGGACATGGGTTCGAGCCCTGGTCCAGGAAGATCCCACATGCCACGGAGCAACTAAGCCCGTGCGCCACAACTACTGAGTCTACGCTCTAGAGCCCGCGAGCCACAACTACTGAGCCCTCGCACCTAGAGCCCATGCTCCGCAACAAGAGAAGCCATGGCAATGAGAAGCCCACGCACCACAACAAAGAGTAGCCCCTGCTCGCCACAACTAGAGAAAGCCCGCGCACAGCAACAAAGACCCAACACAGCCAAAAAAATATATAAATAAATGTTAAAATATATATTTTAAAAAACAAAGTAAACGGTGTTCGTTGTTTCTGGGATAAAAGCCTGGGCGAGGCCACCTGATGTGCACGTGACCTGCTCAGGGATCCCAAGGTCCTCCTAACAGGGCCACTCACAGGGCTCCAGACTGCAGGTGGGGTCTCTGGGTGCCTGGGCCCAGGTCAGGGAGCAGGAAGAGTGTGTGAGTTTGGGGCACAAAGGCCTCGGAGCTGCCAGGCCTTGCTCTCCTCCATTCCGGGGGCACTGGCCAGCTCCCCGCAGGCCCCCACCTCGCACCCTGAGTGTGCTCGCCAGGGGTACTGTCACATCCCCACCTCACGGGTGACGCCCAGCTGTGCTCTCAGCTGTGGAGGGTCCTTGGGTTCCTGCAGCCTCCGCCAAGGTGGGCTGGCCGGGCCCCCAGGCTGTGCTGGGAGCTGTACCTGGGGAAGGGTCTGGCCTGGGCCCCACGGAGGGGCGGCCGAGAGCCTAGGAGTCGCTCTCAGCAGATGCCAACTGCCCAGACGCGGACACAGAGGATGGAGAAAGGTAACCAAAGTCCTTTATTTCTCTACCTGTGAAGTTCGGGGGTCGGGGGGAGGGCTGGGCCGCAGCCCTAGTCCAGGAGGTCGCTGTACTCCAGGCTGTCCAGCTCGCTCTGCACATGGTCGACGTACTGGTTGATCTCCTTCATGCGCCTGCGGTTCCTCATGATCTCGTCCTTGTGAATCTGTGGAGCATACGGCGGCTGGCCCGTCAGGCGGGATCCTGAGCCTGCCTTCCTTACTCCGTTCCTCCCTGCTCCGGCCCTGTGTGTCTGGCGTGCGCGTCTGCCCCGGGGCGGGCCTCCAGCGTGGGGTCCTGCTGCCGGGAGACGCCTGCCCTCAGCTGCGCTCACCTTGTCCACCAGGTGTGTGCGCCAGGAGTTGACCCTGGTCACCAGCTCGTCCTCCCGATTGTCGATCTTCAGGAGGTGGATGTCGTGTGAGGCCCCGACTGCGTTAACGATCGTGTCTTTGTCAACAAAGAGCTGGGGAGCAAGGAAGCGCAGGTGAGGGCCTGGACCCGCACGAGCGCAGAGGCGGTGGAGCCAGAGGGGACGGGCCCAGCTCCCCGCAGGCGGAGGCCGTGCCCAGCCCGCATCCTGCTTCCTCCGCCCGTCTCAGGCGACCACACCGTCGGCCTGGTGGCACCAGTGCCCAGAAGGGGCCCCCGGGCAGCAGGGCAGTGCCTGGGGGGAGCGTGCCCTCCCCAAGAGAAGGCAGGGCAGCCCTGGCCACCTCGCCAAGCGTCTCCAGTCTGACTTGCCTGAAACCTGCCTGTCGAGTGGGCAGCACGAGGCCGGCCGAGGGGCACAGGGCTCCACTGACGACAGAAGGTCCCACAAACCGATGGGACTCTGCTGCCCCTCACGTCAACCCAGTCAGACCTGGGGTCCCACCTGGGCTCCTGCCTTGTTCCCACCCGCTTCCCCGCCGTGGACGACGCTGTGGGACGTGGGCCCCGCCAGGCCCGGCTGGTTCCAGGTGTTCACACGTGAACTGGCCACGTGCGCCCAGCACAGCTGCGGGTCCACATGGTCGCTTCCCAGCGCGGGGAGGCCGTCACTGGCGGCTGCTTCAGCTTTACGCAGAGGTGCTTCATGTCGCCAACGACGGCGAGGGCCCTGAAAGCTCTGTGTTGTAGAGGGCACGGGCAGGTGTGTACACGTGGGTTTTTTCTCTCCTTCGGGAGTGGTTAACCTAATGGTCTCCAGAATACAGTCTATGGATCTTGAAATGTTAGTGTCTCTGCAAAAAGAGTGTTCTGAGACCCTGCTACTAATACGCTCGCTGATGGTTAGAAACAGAAACCAGACTTTTATCGCCGAGGGCCTCATCTGAAAGCCCCTGTCCTGCCCGTGTCCACCACCCACACGCTCCCTGTCATCTCTGAGCCTCGGTTTCCTCGCCTGTGAAAGGGAACCACACTGGCACCTATGTCACTGTGTCGGCTTGGAGATTAAAGGGGCAAATACACGTGCAGAGCTGCTCAGGCAGCTGGCCCTCGGGAGGCCCTCGGTCCCTGTCAGCTCCTCGTGGTGATTCCGCTTTAGTCAGGGCTTGCTACCCCACGTTTTGTTGCTTAAGCGTAAGGAGACGGTGTAGCATCTCCTGCTACAGGTGTTCCTAAAGGACAGAGCTGATGGGCCCGCAGAGGGAGGGGTGTCCAGCGGGCTCTGCCGGCTGCCCCATGAGGCCTCCAGGGTGGCACCCGATACCAGTGCCGCCCGGGAGCCCAAGGCAGCCCCTTAGCCCAGAGGCAGAGCCCCATTACCCTGGGGCCTGGGGCCAGGGGCAGACCCAGAACGCCCACTTTGCAGTGAGGGCTCAGTGCCCGGGCTCGGCATCTCAGACTAAGGTTTGAATCCAGACTCATCCTCACAAGACGAGGTGTCCTCACAACACATCCTGGGTGTTTACCGAACTTCTCTGAGACCCTGTCTCCCCAGCTTTCCCATCTGTAGACTGGGTGGGAATGCCACTTTCAGGTGTCCTTTGGTGAGTTAACTAAGCCCATGCGAGCCCCACCCAGTCAGCAGCCTGAGTGTCCCGGGGCGCGGGAACAGGTGTCAGATGGCACCGTGCACAGCCACCCTGGAAGCACCCGCCCAGGCTGCTCACCTCCCGTTGACTTCGGGGCCTCCTTTTCTGCATGTCCCAATCCTGAGAGAGGTGTCACAGACCCCGGAGCCTTGCGTCAAAAACTCCACGACCGCTAGGTGGTCTGTCAGGCGGCTCCAGGGTGGGCTCTTGGGGTCAGCCTTCAGGCTCGGGAAGGTGACCTCTCCCTGTGTCTGGGTGTTTGAGGAGGCCCTGCCACCTTTCCACTGCCCTGGCGACTGTCTCGGCCCCTGACAGGCTGCGGAGTCGGAACTGCTGGTCCCTGCCTGCAGGACTCCCCCAGCACCTGACAGCGGGCGTGGTGAACCCGGCACCCCGGGTGGGGGCTGACCGCGGTGGGGAAGAGGCCACTCCTGCCTTCCCCGGGGGGCCTGTATGTAGTGTGAAGAGTAACCTAAGCAAGTCGACGCAAACACGATAGCTTGGAACCGTGACAGCAGCTCTGACAAGGATGAACGGCTGTGACGGAGAGACAGTGGGCCTTTGGGAAGGTGATGGGGGCCTCTCCAAGGAGCTGGGTGTGAGCTGAGATCTGAAACATGGGGAGGAGCCGGGTGCACGGAGGCCTGGGGGAAGGGTGTGTCGGGGCGGGGCTCCGCGGAGACCTTGCTCCAGGACTCACTAGGGGGAAGGAGTCCCTGGTCTCTGGCTGCTGCGTGGAGAAGAGCGGTAAGGCCAGGGTCCCGCAAAGGGCGGTGGTAGCTTGCCTTGGTGGAACGCGGAGGAGGAGAGAGGTGAGGGGGGCAGTGAATGGTGAAAGAAGGAAAGTGGGTGCCCTTCGCAGAGACACAGCCCACCTGTTGCCGGCCTCCAGCGCAGGAGACCTAGAGCCCCGCGAGCGGGCAGAGGCCCCAGCAGTGCTTCCCGCCATAGAGACTCGGGGCTGAGACGACCTTCCGGGGAAATCTCGGACCTCAACCTCTATTTGTCGCTGCCTCTCTTAGAAGGTGCCAGAAGCCCCACAGAAACGAGCTTTGGGAAAGCAACCTCTCGGTAAGTTGAAAGCACTGAATTATCACAAGCTCCTCTGTAGCTGGGCTGCACTGGGTGCCCACCAGCTGCCTTTCTTGCCCATCTCGCCTGCCCACCGCCCCTCTTGCAGATGAGGAGACTGAGGCTCTGGCAGGTTTTTCAGGCTTTACGGGGGCTGCGGGGCTGCGAATGCCTGGCGCAGGGGCCGCCCCGCCCCCGCCCCCGCGCTCACCGCACGCACGGCGTCCGGCAGGTCCTCGTCCAGCTCGCCCTTGACTATCTTCTCCCGGGTGCTGATGGCGATCTCCAGGAGCTTCTCGTGGTGGTGGTTCTCCAGGTCCCGGCACTGAGCCATCGTGCAGCGCGAGTTAAGCCGAGGCCGGGCTGGAGCAGGCCGGGCGCGCCGTCCCCTGCGCTGGGCCCCGTGGAGCCCCGCCGTCAGGGCCCTCCGACTCGCCCGCCACGCACCCCCTCGGGGTCCCTCCTGGCCCGCTCCCCTCCAGCCCTTTCTCCCTGCTGCGGCAGCCGGAGTCCCACCCGCCCCTGCTGTGCTGGCGGCTCTCACACTCTGTGGTGACCTAAAGGCCTCCTCTTGGAACCTCCTCTCCCCGTCCTCTGGGCCTTTGCACAGGCTGCCTCCTGAGCCTGCCTGGGACGCCCTCCCCACCGTTCCAGCCCGTCCCTCTGGCCCACCCTCAGGCCCTCACTGAGTGGACCCTCCTTCAGGGAGCTTATATAGCCCTGTCACCCAGCGGGACCGTGGGCCCAGGAGGGCAGGACTGGGGGGACTTCTGGGGTGGACTTCAGGGCCCAGAGTTCAGGTGGCAAAAGGTCAGGCGTGCCCCCAGTGTTGGTTCCTGACCTGACATTTAACCCATCTCCTGATAGATGATGTATTTGTCAGTGGCTTCAGCATAGAGGTCGCCCCACCCCCAGGGCATGTGCACCTGCAGTGGGGGGGGCGGGGGGGAGGGTGGATCTGGGGGTGTGGTCTCCTGGTGAAGTCACTCATTAGAGAACGGACGGGCCACGACTTGTGCCGCAAGCGGTGGCCTGCAGAGCCACGCAGTGGGCATCCAGACTTCTACTCTAATAAGACCCCTTTGTGCTGAGGGTCAGGAGGTATTCCTCGAACAT